TGTGAGTCGAATCGTGATATCTGGTCTTGTGATACGATATATACAAACTCCAATAGCTTGGCAAATTTATCATTTGAATTAGGATTTTCTCCTTGTTTGTATAAAGTTCGTTTCATTGGTGTGCTGGCGTTCCGCTTTAAGTTGAAATTGCTTGACAAGTTGATTTATTTATTTTTGATAAGAGAAATTCCATCTTCCTTGCGTTTATTTTCCATGCCTAAAAATTTGCTTTACCAAGATGCGTTATTTGGTTACTTTCTTTAAATCATTGGTTTGAAGATTAGTCCTTTTATAGAACTTATTAGGATGTCATCAACATACACTATTAAATTAATTCTTTATCACAAAATTTTGTGAAAGACCACGGATGCTTTTTGACTGAACCCCAGATTCATGTAATTTTCATTTTCTGCATTTCCAGCACCTTGCTGCTTGTTTGAGACCATAAATCGACTTCTGTAATTACAATTTTCTTTCTTCCGAAACCACAATCCGTTCTGGTTGTTCCATATATTTTCTTCATTTAGTTGCCATACAAAAAGCGTTTTAACATTAGTTGATGTATCTTGCATTATTAACGCTGCCCTGCTAAGAAAACTCTTATCGTAGTGTGTTCCTACTGGAGAAAATTTCATCATAACAGGCCGTATTTTTGAGTAAATCCTTTGGCTACTAAGCGGCTTTGTATTTATATTTTACAGTTCATCATATTTTGTCTTAAACCCATTTGCTGCCTACTGCATGTTTTCCTGGTGGTAATTCTGTAAGTTATAGGTTTATTTCTTTAGAGAATGTTTTCTTCTGCATACCTTGATCCAAGCTTTGTTCCGTTTTGGTAAGTTTAAATTTCTCAAAGCTTTTGATCTAATTTAGTAAGATTGATCTTCGTCTTTCTTTATAAGAATCTTCGGGTGGACCCCTTTGGTTGATCGCTAGAAACCTTTTTTTCTACATTTTCTTCACATTAATTAACTCTTTGGAACTTTTTGAACTTCTGTAAAATCATCGCCAAGAGAGTTTCTTCATTATTCTTCATCTTCTTGCGATTATGAAGTGAATTAATTCTAAATCTTCAGCATTATTTTCTGCAAGTTTGTCAGGTAAAGACGCTTTTTCTGAAAATTTAACAGTTCTACTTACTATTATTTTCTTCCACCTACATAAATCCTGTATCCTTACTTCGTAAATCGTATCCTACGAATTCCTCTCGGCTCTGTTTCGAATTTATGCTGTTTTTGTTTGTTCACATAATAAAATGCTGTACAGCCAAATACTCGTAAGTGACTTAAGTTTGGTTTTCTACCATTCCCAATCATATGGTGTTCTATCTGTGGCTTTAGTTGGTAACTATTTTGAAGATATGCAGCAGTAGCTGCTGCTTCAGCCAGAATCTTCGTATTTAGAGTTATTAGCATAGCTTTTGTCTTCTATTAAGAGCGATTTTTCCTTTCTGTGACCCGTTCGTGGCCGGAAAATAAGGAACCGAAATTTTTGTGAAAATGCCGAGTTTCTTTAAATAATTTTCAGTACTTTCGTTACAGTATCTGTACCGTTCTCGGATCTGAGAACCTTTATTTTCTTTCAAATTTATTTGTTTCGATGCAACATACTAGTTTAAGTTTGTCGAATACTTCATCTTTGAAGTAATAAAATAAATTTGAGTATAACGAATAGTCATCAATGAAGTTACGAAATATCTTTTCCCGCTTAAGCGTTTGACTTCAATTGACCCACACACATCTGTGTGCACTAAATCCAGTGGAGTTTAGATCTAAAACTAGTTTTGGGATAAGGTGTTTCAATTAGTTTCGCTTTTACACAAGTAGAACATTCCACACTATGAGTGCATTTGCCAAGTTTAATGCCGTCTGCCAAATCATTTTCTCAAGTGTTTTATGGCATCTATATTTCTGTGGCCTAATCTTTGATGCCATTTTATATACTTCGTATTTGAACATTAAACATTATTGCTAAGTATGCTTTTCTCATCAATTGGGTTTACGATCATTTATATAAACCTTGCTGAGGTTGCCGTCGGCTACGAGTATATGTTACGCTTATGTAACACTTATTACTATCAAATGTAACAAAGCAACCTTTTTGTAACAGATTGAACCGAAAGTAAATTACTATCTGAACCTGGTACATACAATATATTTTCTAATTTTATTTGTGTAACCTCTGACCCTTTAAGTTTCGAACTTTAAAATAGCTTTCACCAATACCATAAGAATTTAATTTAGAACCATTGGCTACAGTTACTATTTGTTTAAACTGAACTGAGAAAAAATTCTTATTACTCGTCATATGAGTTGAGGCTCCTGAGTTAATAACCCATTCTTGCGTTAGTGTGTTTTCATGTTTATTTTCAACTTTTAGAACTTGATTTAACTGAATCTGCAAATTTTCAGTTTCAATACTTTTAAAATACTTATTTTCTTTAAGTTTTGTATGTTTTCTACACTTGCGTATTTGCTATTTGGCATGCATTACTTTATAATTTTGAGAATAATTTCTTACTTTACTATTATTTACATCTGTTTTCGGGGAAGTTCTAGCTTGTGTTTTAAATGAAAACAGTATTTATCATATGGTTATTTCTCTTACAATAAGTACAAATTGTAACATACTTTGGTTTATTTTCGCTTTTACTTTTTAAAGCAACGGAATCGTACTTTTGAACTTTCTTAGTTTCCACACGTCTACAATACTCATCTATTTTTGTTTTTAACATATTGTAGCGACAATTCAGCTTCCGATTTACTTTCTATTGCAGTTATAAGGAGTTGTATGAATTTGGTAAGAACATAGTAGTATTGCTGATTAAGTTATTTTCTTTAATTTCTTCACCTATACTACGCAGCTTTCGGCCCAACTCTATACTTCTTTGAATGTTCCTGCATTTTAGAACTTTCATTATATCTAATGGAATATAGTTTCTAAGAAGAAATAACTTATTTTAAATTTACACGTTCATGGACACATTTTAACTTCTGCCAAACTTCTTTTGCAGATTACTATGTAAAACATGGATAATTTGCGAATCCGAAATGTTTAGACACATTAAAGCTTTAGCTTATGATCATTCTTAACCAAATTCAGTATCAGTTTCCGCCGGTTTTTCTTCGAATACACACATCTAAACCTTCTTTTATTAGAATTTTTTTATTTTAAATTTCCACACTGACTAATTTTCATCTGTTAATTTTCTATACATATGATTTTTTTAGAATAGACATTATTATTTGTTACAATTATTCTTATAAACTTTGTAACTAGTTTTTTTCAACAAAGAGTTTTTAATTATTTACAACATGACAAATTTCAATTTCTCAGTCTCATAATAATCTTTGTTGGTTGTGTAGCCTGAACAAAGCGTATGAGTACGTTCCTCAATCACGAATTAAAGAATCATAAGTCAAAAGATTAAACTACGAATCTTTATTAATAAAATAGGATAATTTTGCTTAACTTAAGCATAACAAAAAGTAATATGTTCACGGACATTCAAATTGAAGTATTCAAAAGAATAACTTACATAGAATCATCATCAGTACTAAATATCATCAGGCTTCCCTATATTAGGCAATAAGAAAAATAAACAGAACATACTTTGCCATCATACCTGAAAGAGAAGAAAGTACTACTGGATTAGACCTTTGGCCAGGTACAAGTAGCTAGGGTGAAAAATCAAATATTCTGCATTGCACACGAGCTTTACTTTCTCTCGCCAATATATACCTTGGCGCACATTCATTTCGTATGCCTTTCGAGTTTCATTATGCAAAATACCTAAATTTATTCTAACACAAACAAACAGGTTTAGATGAAGTGAATGTGGAAGATCTGAAAGAAATTTTGCAAAACACAAAAGAAAGTCTTTCTAATAATGAGCTCAAGGAATTTGTGGATCAAGAACACAAAAATACTAGCGATTCTTAAGAAGAGCAAAAACAACTTTCAATGGCATTTCTAAAAACCAATTTAGCTTTCATAGCAGAAATTAAGGACTTATTTATTGAAAATGAGGCAGATTGTGATTGGAATTCAAAGGAAGGACGAGTGTAATGGATGCCTTGTCCCTTTATCAACAGCTTCTTACGAAGTGCAAAAGAAACCTGCAAATGGCATTAAATATCTTCTTGATAAAAAAACAAAAAATTGGAAATGCAGAAAAATCTGAATGATCTAAAATATAATCGTTATAAAAATTTGTTATAAAAAATATTTAATGAACTTAAATAACAAAGCACTTGAATGACTTCTTTTTTAAATTTTATACCATTTTTCCCCTAACTCCATTATTTGCATGATGAAATGACCTGGAACATGACCCCCCCCCACATGAAACGGGGTTTTACTGTATGTTTGAAGAATTCAAGTACCTTCTATTTTATTTGTTCAGGTTAATCTTATGTTCACTTGATGGTCTTTTAGCTTGTCACATATCAAATGTTCTAAACTGTATGAATGTTTCAGTGTTTGTGTGTGTGTGTGTGTGTGTGAGTGAGTGGTAGTTAGAACTTGGCTGCGAATTTAATAGGCCTGGATTTAAATTTCAAAGAAGACATAAATATGTTATTATTTTGCCTTCACAAACTGGGGGGTTGTGTAAAATACGCCAATCCATATGCTTTTGTTAAATATGATAGGATCCGAATTAGTTGTCGTCTACAGTGGTTGGTGTTAGTAAAAAGGGTGCTAGATGTTGGGATTCTTTCCTTTGTGTGTTCATTAAGTTGACATGAAACTAATAGCTATTGTGTGCTTTGCCTAATTAAATAATCCAGTCTCAACTCCGTGGTACGAAATATATATCAAAACTTCATTTTATAAATTATTTCATCATTTTATTCTAGATAGATAAGTAAGTAGTTTTTCTCTATTTACTTTAAACATAGCATTTTTTATAAAAGGTCAGTAATTATTTTTTATTTCTATTGTTTGACAGATTTCATTTGCCATAATATTGTAATACATGTTTATTTCACTGTTTACAGTATGTTCTTGAAAACTCTGACCAGACACCAGTTTTAAAGTTATCTGGCTTGATATCAGGTCGTTATTTATTTCGTCTAACAGTATCGGATTTGCAAGGTGCCTCCTCATCAGACACTGCTTCTCTTATTGTAAAACCACCTAAAACACTCATTGATCAAGTTGAAATCATTGTTAATGCTGATATCAAAAGTTTCACTCAAGAGCAAGAGGTAATAAGTTTCAGTATTCTTTAAAAATTGTACATTTAAAAATTATCAACATTATGATGAAAGTTTTTTTTTTTTATTTTCATTTGGTTGTTTAATTTAAGAAATTTTTTTTATTTGCATGACATAAAAATTCAGTAATGTGATCTTTTGGGGGGGGCAATCATAGGAACATAAAAATATTTAAAAGATATATATTTATTGATTGGTTTAGGACACTCTATTGCGTCAACTAGAAATTTTGCTTCATGATGGAGAACCAGCAAAAGTCAATTTAATCAAACTAGACTCCGATCGACATACTCGGAGGTATGTAACTAACATAATATTGCATATGTGTCTGTAAGTATAAAACATGAATGCAAATACTATTTAATTGCTCATTTATGTAGCCAGGATCATTTAAATGCATGTGCAGGTCAAGAATCTCTGTGAATATTTGATTATATATAATGGTTTTGGATACTTTTGGATTATCTGTACAAAATCTGTAAAAATATTTATTAATATGCATCTAGAATGTGTTCTCAGTGGGGTCATTTTAGACTCCTTGTGAGTCAATGGAATTTTAAAGGGGCTGTGTGCTGACCAAGGGTTCAGTAGAAAAATTTGTGCTGGCAGTGGATTGGCATAATCAAAATACCATTGATTACAGTTAAAAACTATTAATAAAATATATGTTCCTTGATATAAAGTTGTATCATGTATTACGGCAGAAATCGTATAAAATAAATATAAGGGTAAAAACACACTGAAATTATTTAATATATTTTAAAAATCAATAATATTTTTTGTGAAATATGTACACTGCTCAAAAAAAAAGGGGGACAGTGCTATATCTCCCATTCTACTGGGGCGATTCACAAAATTCAAATTGCGTTCTTCATGTCTCGAAAGCGCGACTTAGGATATATATTAGATTTATATAGAGCACTATTCTAACATAGGTATTTTGACACAAAATCGGACTTTTTCTGAAACAACGTACCAATGTTTTTCCATATTTCGATTCTACGACTCAAATTATGCCAGAATACCAAATTTTGCAAAAATCATGCGAGTAGTTTTTAAAATTAAACTCTCAAAATTTTAGCTCCTCAATGTTAATTGAATTGGCAATATTTATTATAATATCTTTTTTTTATTAAACTTTTTTGATTTTTCACTCACATTTCGAATTTAGGTTCATTTCCAAATAATTTACCCATTTTTGTCTTTTTTTTAAATTTCTATTTTTAAATAATTTTTATAAATTTTTCGAAAAAAAATTTGAATTATAACCTATAAAATTTTTACCATCATCTTAAAGTAGGTGTATTTTTAAGCATATCTGCAAAAATTAGATTCTTTTATTCAAAATTTTCTAGATATACACAATTTGCATATTTCGCGTTTTGAAATTTGGCAATTTTTTTTTTTTTTTTTGAGCAGATAATAAACGCCAAATGTGGTCTATAGATTTTTGTTACAGTTAATTGTCACAGCTATTTTAAAACCTTAAATTCAAGTAAAATTTTACGGAGAATTAATTATATGACATTTTTTCCCTCAAGGATGCGTAATAAATATTTATTAATACTATATGAAAGCTATTTTTTTTATTATGGATTATATTATGCAAATTTTTAACTATTTTTTAAATTTCTCTCTCTCTTTTTTTTTTTTTTTTTTTTTTTTTTATATATATATAATAAGAGTAAATTTTTGTAAGAGTAAATTTTTACCTTTGGCGCTTTATCGTCTGTTATTTTACTTCGTTAAATCGAATTGTCTAAAACTGAGAATTTTCGTTTGATGTTTATTTGAATTTTATGACATTAACTGCAATTTATTTCTAAACAACTGTTGCTTTTGAGCAAGTGGCTGAAAGAGCGGCTCATACTATCATCCATATTTTTAAAGCATAGTATATTCTTATAGAAACATAAGATTTAGAATAATCATTTTTTATAAAAGTCAAATTATGATATAAACATGCAACACTCTAGAGACTGAATTAATAGAAGTTCAATGGTTATGTAGAAATGATTTGCAGCTACTTAATGGCTGGACAAGTAAGAATAATTATATAAACAACACCAACATTCTGGATTCAATTAACAACGAGGATATGATGTTTATTAAATGAATTTAAGAAGTTTTAAACATAAAAAAATAACTCATTTTTTATCCTAAAATGTATTTTGTGCGTAGCGTATTTCATTATATCCTTAAAATTCTAATTTAGAATGTAATTGTGAAGAACTGAATCCTAATCATCAGTAATATAATAAGTAATTATACGGTTATTACTAAATCCTTCTTATAAAGTAATTGCAATATTTCAAAAAAACTTCTGTCTGAATGCAAATATTTTTAATTTTATATTAATCAAGATTGCACACCATATTATTTATTTGCACTTCAATTCTTACCATCAGTTCTAGTAGAATTTACAAATCAATTATATTTAATTAAGAATTGGATTATTTAATTATGGCAAAGCACATGAGGGCTATCTGCCTAAAGGGAGGACTTTCTAAGGGAAACTGGCTCGCATACACGTTACACATGGGAAAACCACGAAAACGCCCATGCGGCCAGCCCGTTCGTGGGATTCGAAACTCGTACTGAACTACCAGTGTTCAGCGTCTTTACCGCTCGGCCGCTGGTGGGCTATTTAATTAATGAATGACCATATAAGTTTAGAAACAGCGTACCGTAACAACAATTCAATTATTGCCGCCGTATCTTTCATGTTACTCCCGATTGGCAAGCTACATGATTTTTAATGAGTATTCGAGTTTTGCTAGTAACTTCACTTGGAAATCGCGCCTTAAACTAGGTTAGTTGGTTATTTGAACATAGAAACAACATGGGAGCTATTTGATTAAGATGCTTTCATAGAGAACCTTTGTAAGGAGAACATAGAAAACTATGAAAACCAACCATGCAAGCCTGGGTTAGACGTTTGCAACAACAATTAGTATTTAACAATCTTCAAATGCTAGGCAACTGATGAGGCTCAAATTAAATCTCCAATTTAATATTTTATTGTAAATATTTAAAATATTTGTATTCTTAGACACAAAAAGCAGAATTTAAGTTTTGTTAACTCGTTAGTAAACTACCAAGCCCGTAGTGCAAATGATATTCAATTTCTTTTGCAATAATTGTATTCACTTAATATTCTTGGAATATGAGCTAAAGAAGGAACGTTCTCGGAAGATTAAAGAAGTGTTTAAATCCAGTGATATTAGGTTTGTCTTACAAGCTCAGAATCAAACGATTCTGCAATTGCCCAAGTAGTTGACTTGTAAATGGCTGTGAATTAAGCAAATGACTTTTAATCTTACGTTATTCAGCCAGAAAACGTATTTCAAATATTTTGTATTGCATGACAATGCATCTTTTCATTATTCAATAGCCAGTCGGAGAATCGCTTGTCTTCCGAAAATAAGTATATGTACTCAATCGTCCTGCATGTTCTTCAAATTTGTCTTCTTGTGATTTTTTTTCTTTCCCAAAAACTAAAGTTGCCTCACAAAGGAAAGTTTTTTGACATTGAAGAGACAAAAGGAATATGACATCTACTTTTAAAGGCATGTCAAAAACATATCTCTACAAACCTTCTCTTCCATTACATGTTGTGCATTCAGACAAAAAGTTGCAGCAGCATAAATTCTATAATCTATTTTTATTACACTCTGATTACTTTATTAACATACAGTGAATATATACTAAATCTTTTACTTCAGCTTAAGTAATTCGGAATTGTTGTTGGAACTAGGACTAAGTCAAATTAAATATTTCAATAACCCAATAAATTCAAGGTCGAAGTTTCAATATTTTATTTTCGGAGGGAGGAGAAATTTTTTAACTTTTGGTCCATTATACTAAGTATATTTGCTTCGATACTTTATTTTTCCATAAAAGCGAAAATTTTACGCATGGTATACATAAAATGCATAGCTTCAAATTAAAATTTAATAATATACAGAGTGGTTATAATTAAAGTTCCACATTGAAACGGTCATAAAAGGAAAACTACTGGATCAAATGTTATCAAACTTGGAAATCGTGTAAAGAAGGTCATGGGAATTTATTTTCCGCGAAAAAAAGTAAGTTCGAAACCTCACCACGAGGGGGAGGAAATGGCGCCGTATGCAATACTGTTAAACGAGATATGGGTCGGAATCTAACTTCACCTTTTGTTACACGGGTTTAATATGTTGTATACCCTTAAGAAACTTTGAAGTAGGCAAATTACCATTTAAAGGCGTTAAATTCTAGAAATGTCGAGTGCGCCATCCCTGTAAGTGAGAAATTCGTCCGTAAAAACCACGAATTAGCGATTAGAAAATGTGAGATCGCAAATCACTCTCACAAGTGCGTACAATCTGGAAATCGTTTTCTTACAGATCGCTAATTTGTAATTTTTTAAGCCTGAATTCGGCACTAAAACATGAAGATACTGATTCAAAACGCTTTTAACCCTTTGCGGCATGGTGGGTCAATATATGTCCCACCTAATTAATATTTATTTTCTCAGTTAGCAATTTCCGTTAGAAGTTTTCTAATCTTTTAAAAATAATCTATTTTAGTATTATTTTTCTCAGTAGATGTCACTACTATATGAGGGCTTCAGTTTATAAGCAAAAAATATTCAAAATAGGATCACAAGAGTGATATCCATGTATCTCGCATTTTTCAATATTTTAAAACTTTTGGTATGCAATTTAGGATATGTATAATTCTTTTTAATATTCAAAGATTTATTTTCAAAGATTTTTATTTTCAAAAAGATATTTTATTTTCAAAAATATTAATTGGATTCAATATTTTATAACATTAATTTTGCAAGTTGAAATAAGTGGGTTAAAATTTGTTCCCACCACACACTTGAATTTCCGCTCAATAGATGGCAGCAACTCACGATTATTTTTCTTTTCGTTTTTGCATCTACTTTTTTCGTGATTGATTGCTCGCGCTTTTACATCCGTTGTATGCTTCTGATGTGCTAAAATGTCTAGAAAAAATTAACAACTCAGGAAGCTTTGTATCTTTTTTGCTGAATTGCCATCCGATTGCGACTCAAATGCTTCAGATGACAGTTCTGATTCAGATGAAATTGAAATCCAGGATAGAATAACCTCAGGTTGAAGTTATTGCTGAAGAAGAAAGGGAAGTAGTTATAATTTGTTTCGCTTCTTTAAAGACACAGACCATCTATGCATGTGGCACTGTAAATATGGGTCGGAAGTATCTTCCCAAAAATTTAAAAGAAGACAAATTTATGTCAGAGGAAATATAGACTTTTCAGTTAGCGA